TTTTGAAATATGAGTGTTTTTGCTCTCTAGAAAATAATTTATGCAACGCGGTTTTTCATTTTGCTGCCACGCGGCTTTGTACTTTAAACGACGATGTGCATATGTATGTATTGTTGTCATTCATACGCCCTGGGGCATGCGAGTGATTTTTGCTTGCACATAAATATATGTTACTCACATGCCATTTTAAGTTGTTATTTAAAATTCTTTAATAAAAATGCTATTGAATTATAATATCGCTAGCTTAGAAAGAAAAGTTGCTAAGTCCCATTTTAAAAATTTTACAGGAGAGGAAAAAATCTTCCTATAGCCATTTTCTTTAACTATTTCGCAAGACTTTGAATCAAACATTTTGCGCGTTTAAAGCACAGCAAAACTCCATAAGAATCAGAGGGATTCGATATTTATTAACGTTTTAACGCGACGTTTTACTAAAAAATTCACTTGAATATTTCATTAAATACTAATCAGTTTAAAAATGTTAAAATTATACCTTATATAGAAAACACTTGTAGAAGAAACCCCCATTTTACAAAACTCAAATCGATCGCCCTACGGCTTTTGGTGTTCTCTTAAACTTTAGCATTACATTTTTAGTTTTCAGAGCGCCGCCTCAACTAACACTTTACCACTGATCATACAAACAGGTGCAAAATTTCGGGACCTGCCTTGGACATATTTCGTTAGCTGAAACATCATTTTAGCCAACCCAAGAAGTTAAACCCCGAAATCGATACTTTATATTTTGGATTTATGAGCACGAATTGGGGACCAAATATCATTGTGCAACGGCTCGAAATAACTTCCGCCTGAGATACGGTTTCACTAGCGAAAACACCACACAAAAACTTTTGAAAATGTATGACGGAACGAGAGTTCTGCTATTCCCAATAGTTTTGTACGCGAAAATTTCTAAACCGCACACGTCGGTCGGATGGGAAACCTTAAACCCTCGGCGTAGCTCGAATGAATTATCTTTTATTATCAGTATGTTTTATTGTTATTTTTTTCGGTACAATGAAGATGAGTTTTTATTCAAATAACATATGAGGTAATACCAGCAGTATCGATTAAATTTGTAAAAGATGCAAGAGGCCATCTGTTATTACACTTGCGCTTGGTCATGTATTCGTTAATTAGTTGGA